TAAGAATGCTATGGTATGATGTCTTGATGTTTTTTACAAATAATCATATACACGCACACAACACAAGTCCTTAGATTTAGGCTTGCATGGGGTTTATAGGTAAGTACCCTCTTAAATTTTAGTTGGTTCAACCTGTCTTACAAAGTAATCAGATTCTAGGGAATCTCAATATCATTGATCTTTCTTCATCGAGAATTGTTTCAATGCAAACCTCTTTTTTGGCGACCAAAATATCCCAAAAGTCAGATCTTAATGAATGTAGTATCGAGTATCAACCAACTTCGGACTGCACCAAAGCCGGCTACATCACTACTTCCTAATGGCCAAGTTGTTCAATTAAAGGTTCTAAGGTTCATTAGTGCTTCATGACACCATACGTCGGCCCTGTATTCTCCTTAATTCTCCATAAGGGATATCGGTACCCACAAATGTGTCACACTAACATAGCTATTGTCTCAACCATATAGGTCTACACCGTACAATCTCCACAACTTTGCTATTTACCTAATGATGTTCCCAGATTCGGGTAGAGGATCAATACAAACCCAAACAAGGACCCGTAAATGTAAAGCAAACAAGTCAAACAATGAAAGCATTTAAATGTGATCTAGTTTCTAAGGTAACCCCACTTTTAAGGTCTTCCCCAACAGAGTCTCCAGTTCTGTAATACGGCGGGAGAACTGACTTAGGTGTTTTGTGTTTTATCGCAATTGTTGCGGATAGCAAGAGTCGCCATCGACTTTTCTTTTATCCAATAAAGGAAAGAGTGTAAAGAATAGGAAAGACCTTTTGAGATATTTTCTTGAGTTTGGGGGGTAGGTTATGAAAAGGGAATGTGTTAGCACCCTTTTCATCCGTAGTTATCTATGGGCTCTTAGTTGCTAGCTCACTTTGAAAATGCTTTGTTTGAAATGTGTTTGTGATTGGTTTTGAAAGTAATTTTAAAAAGTGCCTTCGTTTAGGAGAACTTTGTAATGATTCTCGTCTCTATAAGAATGTATACAAAGTGTTGACTTTTGAAAATATTTCTTTTGAAAGTGTTGGTGTATTTCGAAAAATGTTTTGAAATATTTGTGAGCAAACAACTATGAACGTTCTACCTACTCAAAAGAAGTCTTTGTTCTTTTCCTTCTCCTTTAGATATTGCTATCTTACCATTGATTGATAAGAAGCCCTATCATTGGACGTAAAGAGACGGGCGTGGGTTGTAGTATAGTCATAGAAGGTAACCTATGAGACGCTTTAGAAATTTTCGTAAGGGACTTAAGATCGTTTTACCGAAGGCAACTTCAAAGGGTCATTGAGGGACTACGATCTTTTTTAATCGAGGGTCTTTGCTAAAGCGTCCCACATTCGAGGGACATGACTATTTTTCCGAGGTAATAAGCGAGGTTATCCTAGAGGTGCGCGTGTGTGAATGATGTATTTGATTGCATTCATTTTTTTGTTTTGAGATTATGGTTTTCTAACGGTTGATTTTATCTTACCATACACACCCTAATTACTAACAATTATAAAAAGCGATAAATTGCGGAAATTAAAATCCTACGCTATTACATCACTTTAGGGGATGGGGTACAATTTACAAATGGGGAGGCAAAAGCAAATAAAACCTAATTTTATTATTACAACCATATTGAATGAATAAATAGCATGCAAGAATGTAAAGATACATTTTTTTTTATGTATTGACACATGGTGGTATGCATCGATACATATCTTTTCTTGCCCCTGAAAGTCAAAACCAACTCAGTATGAGTCGACACATAATGGTTTGTATCAACTCATAACCTGTTTTGTATCGACTCATGTGTGTTTTGTATCGACTCATTCTCATTTTCTGCCTTTGGAAATCAAAATCAACTCAGTATGAGTCAACACATAATGGGTTGTATCGACACATTTCTTCTTTGTGTCGACTCATTCGTGTTTTGTGTCTACCCATAAACTATTTTGCACCTAATATGTGTCGACACATAGAGATATACATCTACTCATACTGTTGTTTTTTAGTTCTAACATTGTTCTCCTACATGTACAAGTTAGTTCACAACATATGATTGATAAAAATGAAAAGCAAACATATGGTTAGCTTCAAAGTTATGATATCTATATTTATTTTCAAAAATGAATCACTAATGATGCTTGAAATGAAGAGATCAAAGTCAATAAGACTTATCTTAAAACTGAACTCTGTGTTTTAAGTTTGAGTTGCTGTATTGTCTTGGAGAAAGCAAGTTGGAAGTGGCTGTTTTTGAGTTTGGAAAATAGTGATATTTAGGGGAAAACTTGCAAGGTTGTACAATGGGTTGAGGTTTTGTTTTTGTGAATGAAGATAGAGTTGAAGATGAGCAGAGATTACAAAAAGTTCTGTTAGATTTTTCAAAACTCTCTTCTCTCTTTCTAAAAAAACCTCTTTTTCTCTCTCAAAAACCCCTCCCTTTGTGTGTTGTGAAATAGTTTATTTATAGTTGAAATTGACTGAAATTTGGGAGAAAAATAGATAAGTTTTTAAACTGTTTGGGTACACTGTTTTATTGCTTTTTAGATGCAGCTCTTATGTGCTAATTTTGTGCAAATATGGGACTGATATAATGCAGATTTGGGTAGGGTTAGGGGCAGCGTAGCAAGACTATTTTGTAGCAATTTTGGAGTGGAGTGACAGCTTGGTGCAGGGCTGGCTTTGTACAGGATAACAAACTATTTTTGACATGGTTTTGGGCTAGTAGCAGCAGGCTTGGACTTGGCAGCATATCAGATTTTAGGGGTTTTCTGGACAATAATATTTGTAGCATGATACAAGTCTGGTTTTATGGACAAATTTATGCAGCTTGTAACAAAGACAAGGCATATTTGTGGACAACATATTGGCAAGGTTTGGAGATTGAGTCAAAGGGAAAAGTTCAAACAAGACAAAGTTTAGGATTTGTAACTTGCAATTTTTAACTTAAAAATGCAGCCTTGTTGTTTACTTGAAAACTTTTAACAACTTGAATTGAGAAGTAATGAAATTAATATGTATAAAAAACACTTAGAAAAAATTTATAAGTCTTGAAAAATTTGATTTTTGAAATTGACCTTTGACTTTCTTGACTTCTTGATGACCAAACTTGATATTCTTGAATGTCTTGATGAATTTTGATCTTTGAAACTTAATGTTGACCAAAAAGTCAACGTTTGACTTTTGGTGTATCAGTTGACTTTTCATCAGTTGACCTAATTTCAACTATCAATCCACTGATCTTGAGAAACATGTTATGTTTGAGTCTTTGAGATTATGCTTCAAGCCATTAGGTCTTGTATTAGGTCAAAAAATCAATGATCAGTCGTTCTTAGCCAAAACCCTAATTTGGAGTCTCAGTGCTTCGAAGATGATTTTGTCTAATCAATTTCTTGAGAATCCTTGAGCATTGGAGATCCTTTGTGAGGAATGTCTTGAAAAAGAGAGGGAAAATTTTGTGGTACAACAGAAAGGGATAGACACATATCTTCTCTCTTCCTAAGTTAATCAAGGATAATTTACCTAACTTATATTGATTTCTCACTCTTTCATAAAAGATAAAAATAATCCAAACTCATCAAACCTTGCTCTCGTGCAACTCTTTTTTTTTCAAATTTTCGCCCACATGCGAACCACTTAGTGAGTCTTATCGTCCACGTACAATTAAGCTCATATTTTCATAAATAAAATCAACCAACCAACAAACATTTGAGTTCACCAAGAACTACGTAAGCTCTGACTTTCCCATCGCACTTCGAAAATAGTAGACATACGGTTGCAAAACCAAGGCGAGACTACTTTCAAAAAACTAAAACATTTCGCATTTCTTTTCTCTTTTATCGCATGATAAGTAGAAAATTGTAAATTTACTTTCTAAACACACGAACATACACTAAATAAATGGTTCCCATAGAGTACGATGGATGTGATGAGTATTAATACTTTTCCCTTGCATAACCGACTACTGAACCCCTCTCTTTGGTCTCAAAGACCATTTCATTTTTTTTCATGAGTTTTCTCGATCTTTTCCCTTTTCTCTTAGGAATAAATAAAACTCGATGATGACTTCATTAAATCGAATGATAATTTTTCAAGACGTTACGAATACAAATCTCATCAGGGAAGAGAGAGTACCATAAGCCACTCGAAGGAATATCGGGTGAGTACGGGTGTAGCGCTAAGATCACCCATGACTTTACATAAAGCGTCCATATTGAATTTGGGCTATCCAATAAAAATTTTACATGTCCAGTTAACATGGGTAATTACATGACCGTAGTTAACCAAATATTTGCTAAGAGTTGGTTAGCAGTTAATTGTTTGATTGAAAGGTGATTACAATTATTTGAGTAAATTGTAGCACAAGTCATGTGTGTATCAAGTTTGTTGAGACTTTCCTTATATATAATCTCACCTTAACCATTCAATTAATTACCAACCAACTCCTAAGTAACAATTGATTAACTACTTTCAAACTATGGCTACAACTCAAGATATTTAATTTCGTCCATATACTCACAAAGGTAATTTCCAATGGATTTGTTTCTGAAAAACCGTCGTTAAAGTTTGCAACGAAGGTTTGAGCTGCAGAAAAAAATCCACCGAAAATGTCCATTCGATACAGTTTTTAAAAACCCTTAATACATGTTTTTCTTGCAAGGAATAGATACAGAAAGTGGAACATATTTTAAGGATTTCTCTCTTTATAGAAGGATCTGAATCTGCATCCAGTGAGGATCGTTGTATCTAAATTTAAGTAAAAACATTATATTAAAAAGTTGAACTAGAAAATAGGTAAAATGGTCAAAGAAAACAAGGAATGGATAGACTAATAGTAATAGTGCAGAGATACAAAATAAGTGTCCTCAATTAATACAAAACCTCCCCTGAAATGAATGTCCCAAGAATACAAACAATGTAATAAACTCCCATATCACATCACAAAATAATATATATAGAGGTAAAAGTAACAATCTGCAGTCTGAAGACATAGGTATATCTAGAACATCAAAGACATGATAGCACATCCAAATACTAAGCCAACCATCTTCTGTGACAACAAATTCTCTGCCCCACTCTGCAAGAAATGGCCACAAAGTTTATTAGTCTAGCAACTCATACTTTCTAATTAAATCAAATCTATTGGAAGTGATTAAGTATAGTATATATAGAGAGAGAAGTGAACTTACATCATCGCTACCGGTGGGAGAGACAGCGGGAGAGAGAGAGGAGAGACCCGGACCGGGAGCGGGAGCTTCTGATGGTGTGGATACGGGTGCCACTGTAGGAGCTTTACTCTTAAGCTTGGCAGGAGCAGGAGCTGGAGTAGTTGCTGGAGGAGATGAGAGGGGAGTTGGTGTGAGTGCTGGTGGAGGAGTTGCAGGTGGAGGAGTTGCGGGAGGTGGAGTAGTAGGTGGAGGAGAGAATGGAGGAGGAGAGGCAGGTGGAGGAGTAACTGGAGCTGGAGGAGGGGAAGCTGGAACAGGTGGTGGAGTGGATGCAGGTGGAGGAGAAGATTGAACAGGTGGAGGAGACTGAGCTGGTGGAGGAGAAGATTGAACTGGAGGTGGAGAAGATTGAGCAGGTGGAGGAGAAGAAGATTGAACAGGTGGAGGAGAAGACTGAACAGGTGGAGGAGAAGCTTGAGGAGTGGTTGGTGGAGTATTAGCAGGAGGAGTAGGTGGAGCTGGAGAGGTGGTTGGAGGTTGTTGTGCTCCTACAAATGCAAACACAGCACAGATCAAACCAACCACCAAAACCATGTTTGTGCCCATATTCATGTGTTGATTTATTTATAGCTCTATATAATACAATGTATATGATATTATTATATAACTCTCAATCTAAGAACAGAAGAGATTGAGGGGAAGAGAGAGTTAAGAGTTTGGTTGCAGGAGAGAGGTTAAATAGGCAGAGAGAGTTTAGATTTAGATTCTAACTAACGCAAGGTTGTGTAGTATGATGATGAGAGTTGTTACTAGCTACCAAACATTTCCAGCTTAATCTAACTGTGATACAACTTCTATCCATGTGTGGAATATCACAAACGTGGATCCTACCGCCTTTAATTATTTCAATTCATTATTTCACTTTTTCTAGTTCATATGTCAATTCTGTGCTTTTCATGGATTGCCCCTATTTTTTATGCTAACTATTTTTTACATTTGGTTTATGAGATATTTTTGACAGAGGAAAACAATGCGTGTGTGAGAACGTGGGTCATGTGTCTTCATTTGGGGGCTGGACTACAAAGATGCATGTGTGAATTCTACGCTAAGTTGTGAGTTAAAGAAGCCAATAAGAGAGTACTGGTTGGTGAGGTGCTGGCCAGGTACTCTTGTTGGGTCCTACTCACCTCTCTGTCGCTAAGAAATATGATGCAAATCGTTTACTGAAATTTTTTAAATAAATATTACTAGTTTATTGAATGATTAACAATGAGTAACAGCCATGATCTGAGGACCATGCATTGGATATAAATCCTCAAATTATGGTGAAGATTCAGCCTCTGCTGGCAATGAGCATGATTATTTGCATTCACATGTCTTGTTTTCTTTTATCGAATGAAACCAGATAAGCAGATAAGCATCAATAGGAACGGTGCTAGGTAACGAGAAAAACCATAGAATTATTTGGAAGACTTTGCTTAGAAAATAATCAACACTTTAAGTTAGCTTTAATTGGAAAACAATTTGAAATTGTTGTAATGAATGGATTATATTTGTTGTCATAAACATAGGCACACTAATTAGTAATAAGAAAGCGATAATAAGTGCGAGAATGTAGTATTTGTTAAAGCAATAAATCCTTAACTATAAAACTTTTTTTTCTTTATTTTTCATTAAAGTTATTTTTAAAATTTCACATGTATTAAAGTTGATGCATTAAAGATGTTGGAAATCCACTAAATATTTACGATGAATTTCTATCAATCTTGATGAACAAGATTGATATCACCACACAATGACAATGAATTATCAGAAAAGAAAAGAAAAAAGACAATTATTTCCTACAGAGTTTCTCTCTACCCACAAACTGTGGAAAACTTTATTAATCACTTGCAACTATAAATTCTGTGATTACAATGAATTGCCTTAATTACAAAATTAAGGGTTACTCTCTCTATTTATAGATTTAGGTTAGCTTGTTCCCTAAGTCAAAGTCCAAAATATATATTTTGGTACTAAATCAAGTCTATCTATTTTAGATCTAAATCAAATTTATCTAAATCTAAAACCAATCAAATCTGTGTGTAGCTTGCTTCGATCCACAAGCTCTTCGATTGGGTAACCTCCCTTCGACACACACACACTGTTTCGACACAATCGAATTACAATTTAACACACCACCTAATTCATTGTGTCTAAACTATCTACATTCATCATGATTCTTAGTCTTCTGAATACTTCGACCTGCACTCCCTTCGGCATGATGTCTGCAATCTGATTCTCAGTTCTGTAGTGTTTCAAATTCATCTTTCCATCTGCTACCTGCTCTCGAAGATAGTGGAACCTCATTTCGATGTGCTAGCTTCGACCATGTGCTATCGGGTTCTTCTCCAAATTGATAGCTGACATGTTGTCGATCTTCGTGGTAATTTCTCCATGATCTTTCCCTGTTATCTCTTCGACCAAGTTCACCATCCAAGTTACTTGACATGCACAAAGAGAAGCAACTATGTATTCTGCTTCGCATGATGATAATGTCATTACTGGTTCCTTTCTTGAACTCCAAACAACTGGTGCACCACCTAACATAAACACATATCCTGCTATTGATTTTCGATCTTCAGCATCACTACACCAACTCGAATAAGTGTATCCCACTAACTTGTATTATTTTCCTTTATCAGTTGCATGAAACAAAATGCCATAGTCGAGAGTTCCTTTGAGATACCTTAGTATCCTCTTCACTGCTGCTAGATGTGATACCTTTGGCTTCTGCATGAATTTACTTACCATGCCTACACTATATACTAAGTTAGACCTTGTATGACAAAGGTATCTCAATGACCCAATAAGTCTTATGTATTGGGTTGGATCGACATCATCTTTATCTGTATCTTTCGAAAGTTGCAGTCTTGGTTCTGTAGGTGTCAAAGTTGAGTTGCATTTTTCCATCTCAAATCTCTTGAGAATTTTTCCTACATATCTTCTTTGATGCATCATCAAACCTCTACTACTCTTGTAGAATTCGATGCCAAGGAAATACGAAATCTCACCCAGATCATACATTTCGAATTCCTTGCTGAGATCACTTTTGAAGTCTTCGATCTCACTTTTGCAGCTACCTGTTATTAACAAATCATCGACATAGAGACATAGTATAAGCAATTCACTATTGCTTTTTCTTACATATACTCCATGTTCAGTTGTGCACTTCATAAATTCCTTCTCCCTTAGGAAACTATCAATTTTCTTATTCCAAGCTCTTAGAGCTTGTTTCAATCCATACAGGGCTTTATGCAGTCTGTACAACTTTCTCTCTTCGTCATGTTTCACAAATCCAACTGGTTATTTAACATAAACTTCTTCGTCTAAGGGTCCATTCAGGAATGCACACTTCACGTCCATCTGACATATGTTCTATCTGTTTATTTCTGTTAGACCAACAACCAACCTGATTGTTTCGATCCTAGAAACGGGTGCAAAAACTTCATCAAAGTCTATTCCTTCTTTCTGTAGAAATCCTTTCGCCACAAGCCTTGCTTTGTGTCGAGTTACTTCCCCTTTGGAATTCATTTTCAATTTGTATACCCACTTGACATCAATTTCCTTCTTGCCTTGAAGCAATTCGATAAGTGACCAAGTGTTGTTATCTTCGATAGACTTCACTTCTTCGTTCATTGCTTTCACCCACTTTGAATCCTTCAATGCTTCAGCTGCATTGACAGGTTCGACATCTGCATAGAAAGCATAATGTACCAACTCACCTTCATTATCTATCACATCATCTGATATAATCACACAATCTTACAATCTTGCAGGCACGCGTCTTATTCTTTGAGGTCTGCTTGTACTTGGTTGATCTATAAATGCTGGTTCCTCTTGTCGAACTTCTTTTTTGACTTAAGTTTTTGGTTCTTCAAGTAGGATTCCCACTGAATATTTCTTGGCATTTTCAATCCAATCCCATTCTTTAAGCTCATACATGATCACGTCCATGCTGATCACAATCTGCTTGTTCACTGGGTCGAACAACTTGTAACTTTTTGTCGAATGATATTCAACTAGAGTCATTTGACTCGACTTGTCATCAAGTTTTCTTCTCAACTAATCTGGCACATGTCTATGTGCAATAGATCCAAATAACTTTAGATGACTCAAGTTAGGCTTCACACCAGACCAACAGTCTTCTGGAGTAATTCCTTATAGCTTCTTCTTAGGACATATGTTCAAAATATATGTTGCAGTCGACACAACTTCACCCCAAAACTCTTTAGGTAAATTCTTGCCTTTCAACATACTTCTTACCATATTCATGATGGTTCAATTCTTCCTTTCTGCAATTCCATTATGCTGTGGAGTATAGGGTGGCACAACCTCGTGCATAATCCATTCCTTTTCATATAATCTGTCGAAGTCTTTCGACACATACTCTCCACCACCATCAGTTCTCAAAACTTTGAGCTTTCGACCACTTTGTCTTTCGACCATAGACTTAAACTTAGCAAATATCTCAATCACTTCACTTTTCTTCTTGGTCAGGTAAGTCCACAGCTTTCGACTGAAATCATCTCTGAATGTAACAAAGTATTTATTACCTCATATCGAATCCACCTAGATTGATCCATATACATTAGAGTATATGACTTCAAGAATAACCTTCAAACTGCTTCCTGCATCCTTGCTGAAGCTATTCTTGTGCTGCTTCGCCTGCACACACACATACCTCATTTGAAATATCGATTTCTGGCAATCCTGAAACCATATTTCTTCTCTTCAAATCTATGATGTCTATGAAGTTGAGATGGCCTAGTCGATAATGCCATATCCATTCATCTATGCTAGCTGTAGTCGAAAGGCACTTGTGCTCCATCACATTTAGTTTGATCTTTAAGGTTCTATTATGAGACATAGGAGCCTTCAAGATTAATCTTCTATTTGCATCGACGACTCTCATCATATTATCTTCGATCGACACTTTATAATACTTTTCGACCAACTACCCTATACTGAGCAAATTTCTCTTCATGTATGGTATGTACAACATACTGGAAATTACTGACCTCTTGTCATCTTTCATCATAATCATAACATCACAAATACCTTCAACTGCTAGGGTATTGTTATTTGCGAATTTTACCATATTTTTCATTGAGGGCTTTATGTTGGCAAACCAGTCTTTCCTTCTAAACATATGTGATGGGCATCCTAAATTCAAGTACCATTGGTCCTTGAATCTATCTTCATCTCTTGTTGTGACCATCAACGTCATCTCTTCTTCTTCATTTTTTTGCAAACTTTGCATCACTTTCTTAATTCTTTCGCTTTTCTGGATAATCACTCGAATAGTGACCATACTTCTGACAATTGTAACATTGAATGTCACTCTTGTCAGGTTTTCGACCACCACCTCTTCCTCTATTTGCAATACCTCCTCTTTGGTTGCCTTGGTATGGTCTTCTCTGATTCGACACATTTCCTTCATTCTGGTTTCCTCTACCAGTCGATTTGTTATAGCCGTCTCTACCTTTGTCAAACCAATTTCCTTTGACTTTGGTTTCTTTTGATGAATGTGCCTGCAAAGTCACATCACTCTTCGACTTGTCTGCAGCTCT